CTAGGGTCAGGGGTCAGGGATCAGGGGTCAGGTGTTAGGGGGAAGCACGTGCCACTGCTGTGCCTCAGTGGAGGACAATAGAAAGTATGCAGTTGCGGGGACGCGAATTTATTTCCACATTGGACCAAAGAAACATCTCAATGAACACCAAAATGAAAGTCCTGAAATGCTATGTTTGGTCAACCCTTCTATATGGCTGTGAATGCTGGACAATCACTAAAGACGGTGAAAATGAAATAGAAGCAACAGAAATGTGGTTTCTTAGGAGACTGCTAAGAGTATCGTGGAAGGAAAAGAAATCAAATGAGGTGGTGCTTGATGAAGCCCACGTGGGACTCTCACAGTTAAAAATCACCAGGAAACGACAAATGCAGTTTTTGGGACCCCTGAACACTTATAAGGGTCTTGAACATCTAGCGCTCACTGGCAAGATTGAAAGCAAGCGAGGCAGGGGTAGGCCCAGAACAACCTACTTGAGGAACATGAGGGGGGAGGGGTGACAGGGAAAGATCAGGAAACGTAGCTTTTTTTAGAGCATCCGAGCAAAGGAATGAATGGAGAACCATGATCGCCGATGTCTGTCGCAGATCTGGCACTGGATGATGACGATACTTTGACATATTGTTCCTATTGCGGGTTTTGTACATTTGCATACGCCATGCCAGATCCCATGAGCTTATTTCCAATAGACGTTTCTTTGCAATATAACTCTTGGCGCTTGTTGATTAAAAACAATCTTCTCAATACTATGTAATGGTCTCATTATCTTTTTACTTGCTGTTCTTATTTCTGCAGGACTACATATTCTTATTTTAATCTCCAAAGGTAGGTCATTCGTTTTCCTCATCTAATCTACAAAGTTCGAGTGGCTAAGAGAATTTTTTTAAATGATCTTGAGAGTGTGAAGGGAAGGACAGTGTTTTGTAAACACAAAGGTCTGGACGAGATGAGCTGACTGTCGCTGACGTTGTGGGGTCGATAGTGTCGGCGGCTGACAGGGACAATGACGTGACTAAACCAGTTACTGCAAAGACAAAAGTCGCCGTCAATGAATTCTGTTGTCTAATAAACTGGGATTTGTGAAAGGCAGGAATGTGCTAGTCCTCTCAGACCTGTTCCATGACTCAGTTCTCGGGCCTGGCAGTGAAGCTGGCAGTGAAGCTGGCAGTGAAGCTGGCAGTGAAGCTGGCAGTGAAGC